ACGTGAGTTTTCGACCTGTTGGGTTGACAGGAACTGGGGAGGAAACAGGAGCTCACCCTGTTTAACGCGCCAGCTGGGTGACTTTGGGCCAGTCACTCTCTCTCAGCCCTAGGAAACAGGCAATGGCAAACCACTTCTGAAAAACCTTGCCAGGGAAACTCCAGGGACTTGTCCAGGCATCGCCAGGAGTCAACACTGACTTCAAGGCACACACGAAAAAAAAAACCCTGATCAACAGCTGGAACACAGAGTCTTGAAATCCCCATGCAAACCACCCAGAAATCTTGGAGGAAAGGAGGGATATAAATTTAACAGATAAATAAGGTTGGCATTCTGTGTAAAAGACTTGTAGTCAGTTGCAAAATAATTTATCTGGCATAATTAATAAAGAAGTGATAGAGTTAAGTTTGTTTGGCATTGTTTGAATTTATTTCACATTCATGGAGTTCAAAGAATTGGGGAGGAGTTTGAAGCCCACTCCCCCTTATTTCTGTTGTTATCTGTAAATTCTAAAATGGTAGAAGGTAGCAGTTGAGAGATACCAAGATCATGACTTCCTTCCACAACATATAGGGCCAGTTTTCAGAATACCAAGAGGTGAGTTTTCCAAAGCTGAGTCTGGCAGAATTAGGCTTTCTCATCTCTGAATGAATTAACAACCCACATTTCGTAATCAAAAATTTAGTAGACAATGTAGAAAAAACTGCAACATTTTCCTCCAGGACAGCACTGTAATGGTCCTGCTTACTCTACCTCTCCTATCTCTACCTTTCCTATAACTTGAGCCAAAAGCCTATTTGTGGTTTTCTCTTGAAATACAAGTGCTACTGTTTTAAGGTGATTTCCATTACCAACAGTTTACAATATTGGTGTCTGTTACAATAAATGCCAAAAATAAAGGTGGGCTTTATGATGAAGTGCACATGGCACCCCATTGCTACTATTGTACAGTTATGCCCCGAAGTGTTAATTCCCACCCTAAAACAATCCTTGCAAAGGCAAATCATCCCTATCAGATAAATAATGATCTTGTGATGAGTAATATGGCTTAGTGCTATATACTAAGAGAAGCTGGCCCTGTTGCTCCTTTAATAATTGTGCAGAAGAGGAAAAAAGAGCAGTTCTGTATAACTGCAAATGTGTGGAAATCCTAGTCCTCTTTTTAAAAACCTGTCTACCCTATTCTCTCATCTCTCTTTCTTGTGGGTACAGATACTTTCTAAGGAACATCACCTTACAAAAATAATTCAGTTTTAGAAATCTGTTGAATAGAGTATAAAGGCAGGAGGAGGAAGGAGTTCTGCTTAGGGATTGCTATGAACAAAGATGAAATAAGGAAGAAAAAGAGCAGCGCCATAGTATTTCCTCATTTTATGTTTATATTTATAGATATCATTATTTGCTTTAACATAAGAAATATCAGACCATATTTCCTCCTACTGGCGTAGTGAAAATCAAACATCACATATAATTATGTATTATTACTATTTCTCTAAGAAAATGTAAATAACTGCAATATTTTTCTGGCAATGTATCCAAAACGGTTGACCTCCATGTTTTGACTATTGATCATTGGCATAATGTCTGAGTTTGATGGAAATTGCATTTTAAAATCTTTGGAGGTTATATAGGGCAAATGGCAAATTGTCCTAAAATTACAAAGAATCCAGTGTCCTGAACAGTGTGACGTTTTAAATTGAATCAGTCAGGCAGAAACTTCTTGGGGAGACTTGTGGCTTAAACTAGCTTTTGTTGCTATTTTCTATCATGAAAGTAAGAAATATAGCAAAAATATGATATAACCAAAACATGATATAACCAGTCCATGTTTCACAGACAGACTAGCAATCCGTGGGGCAGAAGCATAAAATAAATCACTGTCACAGATCTGGGCCTGCAACCATCAACAATTAAAGCTTAAGAAGACAATTCGGCAAACTACATCCATTTTTTGCATTTGTTTTGCCATTTGAATATCAGATCTGGGAGCCAGCCAGGGAACATGGTCCAGTCCAAACTCCAAGAAGCTCCTGGATTGCCCATCTTATGTCTGACCTATATTATGTATTTTTGTCTTTCTGTCATCAAGCTCTGAAATGGTAATTTTTGGAATGATGGATTGTCTATATGCCTGGGGTATCAAACTCAACAGACAAATTCAGACTTCAAGGAGTTGTAGATATACCAGCACTTCCCAAGCTACACTATTTTCTAACAAATAAAGTAATGAAAGTCCACCAGGCCTCTTTAAATTTGCTTTTGGAATGCAACATCTACTTCTTCTTGGTTGGGTGCGCAATGGGAATAGTATTGCTTTTATACATTTGTTTATTTGGATTTGGAAGAGATGCGGATAACTTTAACAAAGTATGCAACTCCTCCCTTTCTGTTGTTTCTGTTTGGTATTCTTCAGTTGTGATATTCCAAACATGGAAATCATCCCTCTAGGCTTTCATAATACCAACTAAATAATATTAGTTCAAGCTCATTTTGTTTATTTCCCATTTTCTAAGCATTACTGGCAATGTGATTGTAGATGTTTTTTACATGTGGATTAGCAGGAAGGGATAATTGTCAGTGGAATTCAGTTTTGTTCTGCCACCTCTGATACTTGTTGCTAATAGGCAGTATGTTTCATGAATCAATAGGTTTGGTCATTACACATTTGTTTCTTCACTAAACTACCATGGCTCTTCTCTTTGCCTTCTTGCAAGGTCACCTTCATCACTACTGTTCTTCAGGAATCCACAACCTGCTTCCTGTTTGGGAATGTCTCTTCTCTTTCCATTGATGGCTGACCTGTTTTGTTTGCTTGTTTGCTTTGTGTGTGTGTGTTTTTGCAAGGGCCTCAAAGGTGTTTCTGAATTTCACCACAGAATTTCTTGTATAGCATTTGTTTCTGGTTGTCAGTCTCATTCACTGGGCTTACTCCTTTCTTCTTTCCATCCTTTTGGAGAGAGGTTCTTCTGTCAGTTTTTCTTGCATTACTCTCCTTTCTTTTATCTGATAAATCTTGGTCCCTTTTCATAAGCCTGCTCCAATTTCCTGCCTTTTGCTTAAGGACCACTACAAGCTTGCACTTGCACAAATGTATGACATGTTGTTCTGAGGCAGAAACACAAATATGCCACAAATATTTCAGGTCTGCAGTCTATTTTCATTCATCTTCATTTTTTTTTTTTACCTATAGTATCACAATAGGAGGCTTTTCTTTCTGTTTCTTCTTTTCTCAGGTTTTCAAGTAACCCAATTAAATTGGATTGGGGAAAATTTGCTAAGGATTACCCCATAAATTCCTCTTCCAAACTTCTGATGGCTCTCCTTTGGGAACTGGTTGTCT